ATGATGCTGCTTGGCCTGCTGTGTTCATCCAGCCCTGCACCTTGTTGCCTAGAAAGATACTGAGTTAGCTGATCTCCACTAAAAGGAAATAGTAGTATGGAGACACAACAACTAGTGTTGCACCTTTAAATTTTGGAGAAGGGAATAAGTCAACATTCCTTCCAGGTATACTGTGCTCAAACAGGGCAACCCCTGAAATGTGAAACATGCTTTATTCTACAATTGCTGTTGATTGTATTTGTCTTGGAAGTGCATAGTTCCCTCGCGTGCATGAAGTGGAAAAAAAATTCTATCCCTCAATTGCTGCGTCTTAAAACCAAGTTAAATCTCTGAATTCTGATTACAGGTGGGACTCTAGGATCTGAAGTAAGGACCCTGCAAATGATTTAATGCGTTGGTTTATCACTATTGTTAAAGAACAGTTTACTTGAAACCTGCCATTCTGTTTATTGATGGTCTCTGCACTATTTGCATAAGAACGGTCACCTGTCAAGTTAACCTTCTATTGTTTCCTTTTACAGAGGCCTCTGAAATAATGAGGGATATAGGGAGTGCTATTCAGTACCTCCACGCAATGAACATTGCTCACAGGGATGTCAAGGTAAAACCTAGTAATTCCCTAGTTTAAGTGACTGCTATCGGTGAACATATTGCGGGGCTACAGCAAAAGACATTTTCCATTGAATGATTTAAACATTTCATCATCTATCTTTAATTCAACATAACGCCGATGTTAAGAGGAAATAGAGAGGCCGGGGCTGAGAGATATACTATAAGGAAATCGAGGAGCTGGATAAGAATGGAGAAATACACTGAGTAAAGCAGATGGACTGGAGTGCGAAGGTGGGAAAAGTGACAGACTAGGAAGAAAAATATATATTGCATTAGTCTAATGCCTTTCATTACTGCAAGAAGTTTAAAAACATGTTTTGCAGCCAGTGAAATACCCGCTTGAAATGGAGTTAGTGTAGTGTAGAAACGTGGCAACCAGTTTGCATACAGCCAGATCTCCGTGAAATAATGATCACATGATCTGTTCTAGCAATGCTGCTTCAACAGTGAATATTATGCAGGGACTCTTTGTTGGATGGTGCCACAGGCTGTTCTATGTCCACCTAAGGATGAGGGCAGGTGAGGTCTCAGTTTAACCTCATCCAAAAGCTGGTACCTCTAGCATTGCAGCACATCTTTAGTATTGCACTGGAGTGTTGGCCTGGATTTTGAGCTAAAGTCTCTACAGTAGAATTTGAACCCACAGTTTGTGGGAGGTAACCAAAGGGACAGGTCATGTTGCAAAGGACAGTTGAGAATAAGCTTTAGCAGTATTGCGTGACAGTGTTTGAGATGTAAAATTAGGCCATTAAGGCCTTTATGCCTATTGTGCTGTCTGCCAGCTCTAACTTTGAGTATCACTACTCTTTTCGTGACCCTTTACGTACTTGAAGTGTTGAGATAACAGCCCTGTTTTGGTGATGTTGGTTGAGGAAGAGCGTTGATGTATTCGGTTAGCCTGTGGACTTGGTTCTAATCATTGCTGAAAGATGTTCACATTCTGATCTTCGTTAAATTTTTTTTAAAATCCTCCTAGGTTGTCTATGCTCTGAATACGCTGCTGCCCAGGGTTCTAATTCATATCATGTCCCATTCAACTATTGGCACAGAGCTCATTGGCCTGGATTGGTTCTTGATCCCGCAACACTTCAAATGTAAAACTTAGATCTTTGATTTAACACCCGCCTCCTTGGCCTTACCTATCTCTATCTCTAGAACTTCCTCTCACTCTACAACCTTCTGTGAAATCTGTGTTGCTCCCTGCGTATTCTCGCTTTTCACCTACCGCTGGCAGTTGATGCTCCAGCTTTCTAGACTCTAAGCTCTGAATTCCCCCCTAAACGTGTCTGCCTGTGTATTAAGATGTGGGATTACATTATTTGCCCCTTTGAACCTGGTCCACCATTCAGTAAGGTCCTGGTTGATCTGGTTGTGGCCTCAGTTTCACTTTCAAGTCTGCTCCCCATAATCCTTGGTCTCCTTGTTAATCCAAAATTAATTCAACTCAGCCTAGAACAAATTTAAAGACCTTACTGCTTTCTGCCAATAAGATTTCTACATTCTTAACAAACCTCAGAGAAAAATTTCTCATCTGCCTTAAAGCCGAGACTTCTTTATTCTTTAACCACATGCCTTAATTTTAGTCTTTACATAAGAGGAAATGTTCTCCTGGTAGCCAGCTTCCTTTAGATCTTTGTTTCTATAAGATTACCTTTCGTTCTTCTAAACCTGTAAGGTTTAACAGCTTTGGTTTATAATCCATTCTTCATACGTTAAGTCCTCCATCCCAGGAATGATTTGAGTGAACCTTCTCTGAACCAGTTCTAAAGTGGTTTTCAAATTTTCTCAGATAAGGAAACCTACACTCTACACACACTTCAGATTTAGTCTTACCAGTGCTTGAAACAGCTGCAATCCAACTTTACTTTTCATGTTCAATTCCCCTTTCAAGAAAAATAAACATTCCATATGTTTTCCTAGCCGCTTCTTATAACTAACTGCATGCTAAGTTTGTTATTCATGTACCAGGGCTCTCCGATCCCATTGTACTATCAAGTTCCGCAATCTCTCTCCATTTTAAGTAGTAAATGGTTTCCTCAAGCCTAAGTGGACAAGTTCACATTTACCTACGTTATGCTCCATCTGCTAAATTTTCGTTCACTTGACCTAGCTATATCCTTTTTCACACTCTCACACTCTCTCTGGTTATGAGGATGGCAGATTTCCTTCCCTAAAGGATAGTAGTGAACCAGATGGGTTTATAAGACAACCAATATGGTCACCAATTGACCAATGTTTTAAACTTCGATTTTTATTGAATTAAAATTTCACCATCTGGCATGGTGGGATTCAAACCCATGTTCCCAGAAAGTTAGCCTGGGAATTCTGAGAAACTCGTTCGGTGACATTGCCATTGTGCCACTACTTCCTTTTAAACCTGAGTTATGGTTGCTCAGTTTTCCCATTGACAAGACATAAATCTTATTTCCCAAGTCATGATGCCCTACTTTAGTACTAGTTATGAAGGAAGTGCTATCTTGCAGATGAGATATTAAAATGAGACCACATCTGCCTCTTTTTAGTGGATGTTAATAATCCTTTTGATGTTCAAAGAACATCAGTGAGTTCTTCTGCTGCTCTGGGCAACAACAACCCTCCCTCCACCCCCCTCCATGAACACCAAAGCCAGCAATCTGGTTTCACGGTTATTATGGCTATTTGCAGGATGGTACTGTGTGCAGGCTTTGTCAGCCATGTCTGCACTTAATGCTTCTTGTTGTACTTGAAGCATTTCTGAAAGTGTTGATTATACCTTTCTGCTTGTACGTGTTAAATTGCCTAATTCTGCTGTTTAGCTTTTCTAAATGAGGACTCCTTGACACCTTCTGACCTTTTTTGTTTGAATTTTACAGCCAGAAAACCTGTTGTATACATCGAAAGATGTGAATGCGATCCTCAAGCTCACGGATTTTGGGTTTGCTAAAGAAACAACACTTCACAACTCTCTAGCGACACCATGCTACACACCGTACTATGTTGGTCAGTATCAAGAGAGTTCTTCTCTCGTTTTTGTTTTGTGCATGTCTGTCAAAAATAACAGTAAGGTCAACTAACCAGAAATGAGAGAACCAGTATGCAATGTGCATTTGGTTGTCAACTGCTGACTTTTCGAGACACCTGAGCTTAAGGGGCAAGGTGTTCAGTGCAGGACAAAAATCAGTGTTGCACAGGATAAAATTAAAACTCCCTTCCAAGCAACACTGTAGGAGTACCTCACAAAGGACATCGTGCTTCGAGACCTCCTCTACATCTGCAAAAGATATCTGCTGCCATGGGACAGAACATCCTCACCAAGCATATTAACTTGGTTTGCAGTCCAGGCATCCATGGGGAGAGACGTTGGCATCACAAATGCTTGGGTCGTGATCCTAGAGGTCATGTCTGTATTGACTCCACCGAAGGTTATGGGTCAGTAGGAGGTCACCTCTTTTGCATGGGATTGGTGAGTGCATGTGCTATTTAAGACACGTGTAATGCCATACTTCCAGGTATCACACAATAAACATTTTCTATGCAGTACATAAATAATCATTCAAATGTACGTTTTGTGGCTGTAAAGCATTTCAGCCTGGGGTGGCCTCAGCATGCTCTCCCGGCCTCGAGGGGAGCCCAGAGCGCTCTCCTGGCCTCGAGGGGAGCCCAGAGCGCTCTCCCGGCCTCGAGGGGAAACCCACTGTGGTGGGGAGACAAGGCCCAGGGCAGACTAGGTGTCAGCGTGGTTTGGGTTGGAAGGACCATTGTTCTGAACTTTTTATTTCTTTATTTTTCTAATTTATTCCTATGATCTGTAACAGTGGACTCTTTATTTCTTTATTTCTCTCTCATTATTTTCCCCTAAGAATTTGTACTGAAGAATCTGTCCCTATCTACCTTTGTACCTAAGATGGCGCCGTAATGTGGTAACTTGTAAATGTTCTCATTTGATAACACGTGACAATAACGCTAATCCTAAGATCATCAAGTTCATTATATGGATGAAAATTCTTTCTCGTTCTGGGTCTAAAATTCTTGGTTTCATCATTTCAGTTCCACTTTTCCACCAGTTTTTCAAGCCTTTGCCTCCAGCTGTTTGTCCCAAGCAATAGCCATTCACAACAGCAAAAACAAAAATTGCTAGAAAAGGCTGGCAGGTCTGGCAGTATCTGTGCAGACGAAGCGAAATGTTACCTTTGTTTTGTCTCTACAGATATTGCCAGACCTGCCAGGTTTTTCCGGCATTTTATTTTTGGTTCTGATTTCCAGCATCCACTGGTCTTTTTGCTTTTTAGTTTAATGACCATACCGAGCCAGGGGAGAAAACGATAGTTTAAAGCTCTTTGAGTACAGATCACATTGTGGACCAGTCCTTTCTCAGTCAGATGGATCACCTAGTGTTGTCTCTAACCTGGCTATTGTCCAAAATTGGCCTAGTTTGTCTTAGCTCTTGGAGATGCAAACCTCTGTCAATGGGAACATAGTCAGCCAAGTGAAGAATCATCTCTTTTAGCAACCTCCCAGGATCGGTGATAAGGCGAAAAACCATGTGGGACCCAGCACGTTGCTGAGTTGTACAAAAGATCATATTTGATCGGCTGATATTTGACCCTCCCCATGACATTTAACTGCTCAGGGTATACTGCAAAAAGCCAACTTCTCAACGATCCTATTTACCAATGTCTCTGGCAGTCTCGAGGGATTCTGCCCGAACACCATGCTGTGCTTGTATAACACGTCCTATAAATAGAACGATGCACAATGCATCACTCTAAGGAGTATTATGTTTTTCACTTTGCTACCAGATCTGACTATGTGTTGGGTGCTTATGATAAAGGAACAGCAATAACATAGTTGACTTTAATCTACATGTAAAGTTGAAAAATCAGATTGTCAGCAGACGCCTGGATGAAGAGTTCATAAAATGCTTTTGATCTGGTTGCTTGGAGCAGTATATTTAGGAACTGACCAGAGAGCAGGTTATATTAGACTTGGCATTGTGTAATATAGCAGGATTAATTAATGACTTCTGAGTAAAGGCACTCTACTAGTCCAAGAAATATATTAATAGAGACACAGTGACACATATTTAAGGGGCTATTTCAGAATATGTATATTCCTGTACAAAATTCCCCATCCGCAGTTAACTAAAGAAGTTGGAGAACTTAAGAAAAATATTAACTGTACAAAGCAGAGTGGCAGGTCATATGATTGATCAGAATATAAAGAATGGCAGAAAATGACTGAAATGTTAATTAGGAGGAAGAAATTAGTGTATGAGAGGAAGCTAGCTAGGAATGTGAAAATGGACAGTAAGACTTTTCTGTAGGTATTTAAAAGGAAAAGAGTAAGTAAAGTGAATGTCAGTCCTCGAGAGAGAAAAATGAAAAGTTAATAGTAGACAATACGGAAATAGCAGATGAAGTGAACAAATACTTTTCTTCTGTCTTCATTATAGAGAATATTAAAAACATCTCTATAATAGCTGTAAAACAGGAGCTGGAAGGGAGAGGGGAACTTGTGAAATTTAAAATTTCAAAGAACATAGTATTAAACTAGCTGTGTGTTTACAAATCTCTGGATCCAGATGGATGTCATCCCATGGTCTTAAAAGAGGTGGCTAATGAGGCTGTAGATGTTTTTGTTAATCTTCCAAGATTCAGGAGCGGTTCAAACGGAGTGGAAAGTTGTAAACATTCACGAAGGGAGGGAGGCGGAAAACAGAAAACTGTAGGCCAGTTAGCATTACGTCTGTCAGAGCTGATCATTAAAGAGGTTATAGTTGCACACTTACAGTTCAAAACTATTGGGAAGAGTCAGCATGGTTTTGTCAAAGGGCAATCATGTTTAATTAACTTATTGAAATTCTTTTAAAGGGCGGCACGGTGGCTCAGTGGTTAGCACTGCTGCCTCACAGCCCCAGGGACCCGGGTTTGATTCCACCCTCGGGTGACTGTCTGTGTAGAGTTTGCACATTCTCCCTGTGTCTGTGTGGGTTTCTTCTGGGTGCTCCGGTTTCCTCCCACAGTCCAAAGATATGCAGGCTAGGTGGATTGGCCATGCTAAAAAAGTGTTCCGCAGGGATCTGTTCTGGGACCTCTGCCCTTTGTGATCTTTATAAATGACTCGGATGAGGAAGTAGAAGGGTGGGTTAGTAAGTTTGTCGATGACGCAAAGGTTGGTGGAGTTGTGGATAGCATGGAGGGCTGTTGTAGGTTGCAACAGGACATTAGCAGGATGCAGAGCTGGACAAAGAAGTGGCAGATGGAATTCAACCCAGAAAAGTATGAAGAGATTCATTTTGGAAGGTCGAACTTGAATGCAGAATACAGGGTTAATAGTAGGATTCTCGGCAGTGTGGAGGAACAGAGGGATCTTGGGGTCCACGTCCATAGATCCCTCAAAGTCGCTACCCAAGTTGATAGGGTTGTAAAGAAGGCATATGGTGCGTTGGCTTTCATTGGTAGGGGAATTGAGTTTAAGAGCTGTGAGGTCATGCTGCAGCTCTGTAAAACTCTGGTTAGACCACAGTTGGAATATTGTGTTCAGTTCTGGTCACCTCATTAAAGGAAAAATGTGGAAGGCTTAGAGAGGATGCAGAGGCGATTTACCAGAATGCTGCCTGGACTGGAGGGCAAGTCTTATGAGGAAAGGTTGAGGGAGCTAGGACTTTTCTCATTGGAGTGAAGAAGGATGAGAGGTGACAGGACAGAGGTGTACAAGATGATGAGAGGCACAGATAGGTTGGATAGTCAGAGACTTTTTCCCAGGGTGGAAGTGACTATTACGAGGGGACATAATTTTAAGGTGATTGGACGAAGGTACAGGGGAGATGTCAGAGGTAGGTTCTTCACACTGAGAGTGGTGGGCGTGTGGAATGCGTTGCCGGCAGTGGTAGTGGAGTCAGATACTTTAGAGACTTTTAAGTGACTCTTAGATAGGCACATGGAGGATAGTAAAATGTGGGATATGCAGGGTAGATTGATTGTAGTAGGATAATAGGTCGGCACAACATTGTGGGCCGAAGAGCCTGTACTGTTCTATGTTCTATGTAAATTGCCCAAAGTGTCCGGGGATGTGTAGAGTAGGTGGGATGCTCTGAGGGTCAGTGTGGACTTGTTGGGCCGAAGGGCCTGTTTCCACACTGTAGGGATTTGATGATGAATAACTTTGCTGTAAATAAAAGGAAGTCTATATTCGTATTAACATTGGATTTCTAGAGGCATTCTAGAGATGTCAAAAGTTATTGTGGAAAATCAAAGCTCTTATTGTTGGAGGTGACGTGTATTAGTTTAAATAGAAGATAGTTTTCTGACAGCCAGCCAGAGAGTGTGCATAAATGTAGCCTTGATGTGTTTGCCAGGATGTGATGGATAGAGTCTAGCAGGAGTCTGTGCTGGGGCCTCAATTTTTTACAATATTTATGAATGACGTACATGAGGGCAGTAAAGGCATGGCAGTTAAATTTACAGACAAGACCAGGATCGGTACAGATGTATGTTATGCAGAAGACTTAAGGAAGTTGCAAATGAAAATAGGTTGAGAGAGTGGGCAGAAAAAGTTCTGGCAGATGGATTACAATGTGGAAAAGTGCTTACTTGGCAGCAAGAGTAGAAAAACATAGAAAAGGGGAAGGGCAACCCCCTCTGATAATTAACCCAAAACACCCAGAGAAGCTTACCTTGCCCCTCGTAATCTGTTAAGAATAGTTAAATGTGGCTGGTGCATTCTTCATTCCAAAGGGCATTACTTTAAATTGATACAGCCTATTTGGGGTTATGAAAGCAGAAACTTCTTTCTCCCTCTCTGACGAAGGTACTTGCCAGTAAACACGAAGTAAGTCTAACTTTGTGATGTAATCGGCTTGTCCAATCTTATTCAAACCCTCCTCCAGCCTTGGAATTGGGTATGAGTCTGATTTAGTTATGGCACTGACCTTCGATGATCCACACAGAATTGTTGAGTACCATCAGGTTTTGGAACCAACATGATTGGTGAACTCCACT